AACAGGATCTTTGCCTCTCTTGATCAAAGCAGTGTCCCCAACACTTAAGGCAGTGGTTGGATCATGGTAGGTACTCACTAAATATATTGAGGATGAGAATGTATAAAAGAATTACAGCAATATAGAAACATATATGCTGGTTTTCCAAAGCCATTTGATAATCTTTACAGGGATCTTGACAAATCTAGGAAAGGATGAACTGACTGCATCTGAGTTCTTCAATATTACATATGGGTTGTACAAAAACTGATAGAGGGGGAAAAGACTTATTTTTTGAAAACAAGATGGCTTCAGACGTCAAATACATACACATTCCATATATATTTCAAACACATATGTATTTGAAATATGCATTTATTTTCAAGCACACACACACCAGTACTTTTCAAATACACAGATATAACTACAATACAGCAAGCAAGTGAAGCCATTTTAATTCCTTCATTAAAACTAATTTACTTGAAGTTGCAATTCAATTTCACAAGTTTTAATAAACGCTCTGCTTTAAAAGCCAATTCCCTGAGAACAGAAGTAAATTTGTGATGACATCCAATATGCTTTCTAGTGTTGAAAAAGGGATGGGCATTTCAGACATAGACTGTGATGAATGGGTGCAAAAGAACTGACTGACAAATAGCTGATCTCCGTAAACAGGATATCGAGTAGATGGGCATTTTTGGACAGATGGAAATGAATTCCTCAAAGTCTAAGTTTTTTGTTCGCTAGTAAAATCCTAAGTATTTCATGATTAAACATATGTCTCGAGAGGAATTCTAGCCTGCTGTCACTATATGTACTGACACCAGGTAGCAGTGTGACATGGCTTCGATACGAGCAGAGCTGCAAGTCAAAGTGGATTTTACATTTTATTCTATTCAGCTTTACCACTACACAAAAGAAATAAAGGGGACCGGGGGTGATGGCTCACGCCTATAATGCCAGCACTTTGGAGGCTGAGGTGAGAGGATTGCCTGAGCCCATGGGTTCATGAAGAGGAGATAAGAAAGTGTATTTCGTTTACTATATTTAACTGGAGACGCAATAATTCATTTTAAGAGTGTGCCAGGAAAAAACTTTTAAATATGTGAAAAAACTTACATATCAATCTCAAGTTGTATCAGCATATACGGTTTTCTACCTCTACACTTTTTTCATGTTATACTTACTGTGTTAACTGGGGACGGCAATATTGTGCACTGACTTTATAAGATTACTCCTTGCGTGGATTAAGGGTAGGAGATCAGCCAACAGCTTGGGGCTTACTAAAGACAAAGCAGAACGAGAAGCCAAAGCCAGCAAACCTCAAGATGTTTCAGTCACCAATGCTGTATATGTTGGTTGCAGATAAATTCATCACATGTGGCCCTCATGTACAAATAGCAAAGGGATGTGAGAGCATTGACATAGGGCACTTAGCATATCTTCTTTTTTTTTTTTGAGTTGGAGTCTCACTCTGTCACCCAGACTGGAGTGCAGTGGCCGCTCCCGGCCACCGCAGCCTCGACCTGCCGGGCTCCGACTATCCTTCCGCCTCAGCCTTCCAAGTAGCTGGAACTACAGGCGCGCGCTATCATGCCCGGCTCATTTTTGATTTATTGTGGAGATTAGGTCTCGCCAAGTTGCCCAGACGAGTCTCAAACCCGCAGGCTCAGG